CAAGTGACATAAACTAATCGCATGCAACGCATTGAATATTTATCACTAAAAAAGCAACAATAACAACAACTACTAAAAGAACATTTCAAAACAAATGAAGTGAATTGAACAGAAGACAACAGAATACAAGGAACAAAAAAAGTAACAACAAGAGCAGCAACAACAATAAAAACATAAACACAATCATCAACACAAAATTCTTGGTCTCTCACTCTCTATGTATTTGCCTGAGTTTGTGTGTTTGTTTATGTTTTTTTTTTCATAATAAGATTTGCATATCAATACAGTTCAGAGAGAGAATTAATTGTTTAGAGAAAAATCACAACAAAATGTATAAATTTTATAAAAATAATATTAAATAATTATATAAAAACATATTTTTATAACATTTTTAAGAAGAAAAATTTAATTTTGTTTAATTTATTAAGATAAAGTTTTTCTATTGTATGTCTCTATCACTTCTTGCACTGTTGTTGACATTTAATTAAAGTTGCCATATAAAGCTAAAGATGTCACTTATAAGCTTATGTTTGTACGCAAGTTAATAAAGTGGCATCTTTATTATTAACAACAGCATTGAAGAAGAGAGTAATAGAAGTAGTTTTTTAGGGAAAAATGTAAACAAAACAATTAAAATAAATAAAAATGATATAATTTCACTAAAAAAACAAAAAAATTAATAAGAAAACTATTCAATAACATTATAGGAACATATTTTTATAAATATTTTTAAGTTTAGAAGGCAATTTACCTTAATTTTTTTATAAAAATGTTTCATATACATATTTCCCAACTTTGGTCAAATATTTAAGAAAACTTAAAAAATTGTATTCAGAATTAAACAAATTTTCTGATTTAAAGCAAAGTTGCCATATTATGTAGTAGGAAATCCTAAATTTTTTTCATAATATGATTTAGAAACGTTTATACTTAAATAGCAAGATAATTTTATCAAAAAATTTCTAATAAGTACTATATTATCTACTAATATCTCACAAAAAGTAGTATTTTTCAAAAAAATCTCTTATGTAAATTATTTAATATGCCAAACTATTTGCAAAACCAACATTATTTTGCAATTTTCAAATAGTACTAGATATACTACTTTTTTCTAAAAAGTAGGAAACACCAACATTTTTCCACAGAATATAATTTAGTAACATGTATACTTATAAAGCAAGATAATTTTAACAAAAAATGTTCAATAAGTACTAAATTAGCTACTACTATTTCACAAAAAGTTGTATTTTTCAAAAAATCTTTCATGTAAATTACTTAATATGCCAAACTATTTGCAAAACCAACATTATTTTGAAATTTTAAAATAGTAGTAGAAATACTACTTTTTTAAAAAAGTTGAAAATTCCTTACTTTTTTCTGCGGAATATGATTTAGCTACACTTATACTTAAAAAGCAAGATAATTTCTTTAAATTATTTCCAAAATATACTAATTGTCAACTACTATTTCACAAAAAGTAGCATTTTTGAAAAAATTTCTTATGGTAATTATTAAATACACCAAACTATTTGCAATACCAACATTGTTTTTTTTTTTATTTTATTTTATTTATTTTTTTTTTTTTTTTTTTGAATAGGGGTTTTAAAAATTATTCTGAAAGTTTTCATTATTTTAAGACCCTGCATACACACCAAAATACCTTGTATAGGAATATTTATTTTAACAGATATTTTCAAGATAAACCTATAAAACACTTAAGATCACAGCAGGTTTTTCCTTTCAAATCTTTTGTATCTTGACTCTTTATAATTTAGACAAAAATATTTTTTGTTAAAAATTATGAACTGAACACAGGTTGTGAAAATAAAGCTGGAGGTCTTTTATATAAATAAAGGGATTTTGTATAAAGTTTAAATTAAAGTTATTAATTAGTACAAAAATAAAACGATTTTCAAATTAGAAGAAGTTTTTTAAAGTTATCGAAAGCAAATTTGGAAAAAAATTTTAAAAATTTTTCCAAATTTTGTTAACTTGCCAAAAAGTCATTTAAAATCTCTATTTTATTATTTACTTATTGTTTACAAACGAAAATATTTAATTGCTATTAAATTATGCAAACTGAAAACCATAATATATAATTTATTTAAATTTCTAATGTGGATAATCACAGTTTTGCAATAAAACTCATAAATTATAATTTATAACTATAATTAAACCAACTTTTTACAAATTATGCAACAAAAACGTGACTCACGTTAGAAAAGCAATATTTTTCTTATAATTTTAAACAATTATTAAGATTTATGTCTCAAAGTCTTTAGTTTTAACAAAAATTTGCTTTAAAGTCCGGTTGATTGTTAGTTTTACTTGTTTTAATGCAGCCTTTGTATTGCTTTGTTTACATTTGAATGCAAAACAGTGGCAACACTATGTTTGCACACTTTCCTTGTTTATTGTTTTAACTTTAGGTCACTTCTCCCTTGCTTTGTTTACATTTTTATAGCAAAACACTAACACTACTAGTGTACTGTTATTGTTTCCTAAGCTTGTGTTAGTGGTGTCCATATAGCGGTTTTCTATTACTTGCAATAAGTCAATAAGCAAAAATAGAAATTCGACTGTTACTCCTCAACGGAATGTAGGATTTTAATGAAATTTAACACGATTATAAAGGAATTTAAATATCTACTTAAGAATACAACAAATATAAAGGAATCGTTACTGAGAGTTCTCAAAATAGGGCTAAATACAAATTTGATTTATTTAATTTCTCTTGAACATATTGTTGCTAACAGAACTGGGAAACCCCTTTTTTAATAAACTTTTAATATAAATATAATTTAAACACTTTTATTTGCAAAAAAATAAATATAATTTTTTATATTTTTTCTATATTCTCGTTGTTATTTTAAGGGTCATTATGACGTAGTTTAACAATTTGCCAAATTGTTTTCTACAATATAAAAATGTTGATTTTATTATTTGTTGTTTTTTTTTTATTATTTGTTTAAATTTCTTTATTTTTTCTCTATTTATTACTTTTTTATCTTTTCTCGTTTTTTGTTTGAAAATCTCTTAAGAGAGCAGAAAATTTTTTTTATTTCAAAAATCTTTGCTATTAAATTTTCTACTTGAATAAATTTTGTGTTCTTTTCGTAACACAAAAAACATTTCAATTTTTTTTTCTTCTTTTGCAATTTTGTGTATATTTCTTTTAACATTCTGTTCTCTTTTATACATACAATTTTCTTTGACTTATTTTTCTTTTCAAAAATAAACTTACCAAGTTACGAAGAATTCTAAAATTACACACGTCTCAATATACTACAATATGTATATAGAATCTGTGTATAGAAAAATCTTTTAAATGATCTTCCTCATTTCTATATGTGTGTTTGAGCAGTTTTTATGTGTGTTCATACATAAAATACATATAGAATTTGTATTTTAAGGCAATGTGATCTGAGAGATCAAATTTACTTTTCATTTTTTTGCTGGTATTTTAATATACAGAAAAATTTTAGTGCGTGTATGTATATTTTATTTCAAAATCTTAAATTTAGCTCGTGCTAATAAAATGTGTATGTTTCAACAAGCAAGCACATGCTAGTTTTTATATGAAAAAGTATTCAAGTTTTAAAAGTATTATATTTTCTAAGTTTCCCATAAAATTTCTAAGCCCCCTGATTGCAATTGCAACTAATTTAAGCACATAGTCTTTGCTCTTTTTGTCGAGAATCTTGCTGTGAAAAATCATCCAAATCACAACATAAATGGCTAAGTTATAAGTATTTAACTGGAGTCGCCTTGATATTTCAATTGTTTTTTTTACATTTAAGCGTTTTTCACTGTCTTTTTTAACTACTTTTGGCAACACTATTGTTATTTGTTTACATTTTTCTGACAGGGATGCTTGGCATAGCTCAAGATAAATAATATTCTGTATTAAATTTCGGCACGATTGAAATTTACTTAAGTTTAAAATAATTAACTTTTTCCGAAGACCACAATTAAGTTCCCTGATACCTTAGAAACATAATTGTAGCAAATAATGTGTAGTGTCGAGAATCTGAACCAAAAATGGCTGAGTTATAAGCAGTTAAAGGGAACCATATGTACTTTTGGCAACACTATTATTAGTTGTTTACTTTTTCCTGCCAGGGATGGTTATGTACTAAATTTATTAATTAATTAATCATTTAAAATTAAATCTAGAAGAGTTTAATAATATTTTTAATTTAATTAATTTTAATTTGCATTTTTGTTGAAGTTTGTTTACCTTTTGTTTGTTGACACATTAGCGGTAGTATTTTGCAATGTTGCCATATAATTAAAGAACAATTAAAGCGATTTTTAGTAATTTGTTATAGAAAAATCACAACATTAATGAATTTTTAACTAAATTCAAAGAAATTTGAATAAATTTAACTATTTTAATGAAATTTTAACTAAAATCAAAGAAATTTCATCAAATTTAAAGGTATTTGACTTAATTTTAAGAAAATTAAAAAAAAATTAAAGCAATTTTAGGAAATTTAGCAAAATTTGAATAATTTTTTTAAATGTAATTAAAGAAAACTCTCCAAGAGACTAAATTATAAGTTTAAATTACACAATTTTAATAACTTCTATAGGCAATTAATATATTTATCTTAAAACAGAGATGAAATTTCATTAAAACTTTTAAAATTCTTTAAAAAAATCCAAATATTTTTTGTTAAAAATTTCCTAATAAAAAATAATCAAAATACCAAAAAATTAAGAAAAACTATCAAGAACAACACAAAAAAGTACAAGAAAAAGAATCACATGCGGTGATTTGAGATATTTTAAGATTTCATTACACAATATCTTCTAAATAACAAAGACCACTAGACTTTGAAAAGAACAAAAGGAAAAAATAAAAAAACTAGTGCGTAAGTAACACAAAACCCAACCAAAGAAATCTATACCCACGCAACGTTATACATACAAACAATTTTAAAATATTTAAACGATTTTTTATTTACTAATTCCAATTTTTCTCTATTTCTTTGCAGCTCTTAACACAATAAAAGAAAATTTTTTAAGAAAAATAAATAAATTATGTGGCTAAATATAAACTAGAAAGAAAACTAAGTATTTTTCTAAAGAAACTTAAAACACCCCCCTACAAAAATGCTACAACATCCCGCCACTGATTTTTACGATTTGGCTGCTGCCAATGCTGCTGTTTTAACATCACGCCAAACGCCCCCTTATAGTCCTACCGGACTAACGGTTACGGGTTTAACGAACAATAATAACAATAGCACAAGCAATAATAACAACAATTTGGATATGTTGTCTCACAATGGCAATGCCAATAGTGTACCGGGTTCTACCCGTTTGGTTGGTAATCAGAATACAAGTACAAATGGCGGTGGTGGTGGTGGTGGCGCTAGTAATGGCGCCAATGGTCGCGAATCATTGCCCAGTTTTGGTTTTACCCAGGAACAGGTGGCGTGTGTATGTGAGGTGAGTTTTGTTTTAAAAACCTAAGAAATTTCATTATTTCTATAGTCTGAACTATAGTCCAGTCCATAGCCTGATCTATAGTCTGGTCTATAGTCTGGCCTATAGCCTGGTCTATAGTTTGACCTATAGTCCGGACTATAGTTTAGTATAAAGTTTGATCTATAATCTGGTTCATAGTCTGGTCTATAGTCTGGCCTACGGACTGGTCTATAGTCTAGTCTGTAATTTGATCTATAGTCTGGACTATAGTCTAGTCAGTAGTTTGACCTATTGTCTGGACTATAGTCTGCTCTATAGTTAGATCTATAGTCTGGTCTAAAGTCTAGTGTATGGACTATAGTCAGATCTTAAGTCTGGTCTATAGTCTGGTTTATATTCTGGCCAAAAGTCTGGTCTATAGTCTGATCTGTAGTCTGTTCTATAGTCTATATTATAGTGTGTGTTATAGTCTGTCTATACTTTGGTCTATAGTATATACTGTAGTCTGGTCTGTTCTAAAGTCTGGACTGTAGTCTGATCTATTGTATGTATTATAGTATGATTCACACTCTGGACTATAGTCTTGTCTATAGTATGGACTATAGTCTGGTTTGCAGTATGGCCTATAGTCTGGATTCTGGATCTGGACTATAGTCTGGTCTATAGGCTAGACTACAGTCTGGTCCATAGGCTAGACTATAGTCAGGTCTATAGGCTAGACTATAGTCAGGTCTATAGGCTAGACTATAGTCAGGTCTATAGGCTAGACTATTGTCAGGTCTATAGGCTAGACTATAGTCAGGTCTATAGGCTAGACTATAGTCAGGTCTATAGGCTAGACTATAGTCAGGTATATAGGCAAGACTATAGTCAGGTCTATAGGCTAGACTATAGTCAGGTCTATAGGCTAGACTATAGTCAGGTCTATAGGCTAGACTATAGTCAGGTCTATAGTATGTATAAAGTCTGTATTATAGTCTGGTCTATAGTCTGGACTATAGCCTGGTCTATAGTCTGGACTATAGTCTGGACTATAGTCTGGTCTATAGTCTGGTCTATAGTCTGGTCTATAGTCTGGACTATAGTCTGGTCTATAGTCTGGACTATAGTCTGGTCTATAGTCTGGACTATAGTCTGGTCTATAGTCTGGTCTATAGTCTGGTCTATAGTTTGTATAAAGTCTGTATAATAGTCTGGACTATGGTCTGAAATACAGTATGGTTTATAGTCTGAAATACATTTTGGTCTATAGTCTGAAATATAGTTGGTCTATAGTCTGGACTATAGTTTGGTCTATAGTCTAGTCTTTAGTCTGTTCTAGGGATCTATCTTTAGGCTGGTCTAAAGACTGGACTACAGTCTGTTCTATAGTCTATAGAACTGTCTATAGTCTGTTCTATAGCCCTGTCTATAATCTGGTCTATAATCTGGTCCATAATATGGGCTATAATCTGGGCTACAGTCTGGTCTATAGTCTGGACTATAGTTATGTTAATACCATGGGCTATAGTCTGTTCAATAGCCTAGTCTATTACCCGGACTATATTCTAGACAGGTCTATACTCTGGACTATATTATAATCTAAAATTTGGTCTATACTGTGGAATATAGTTTAATCTAAAATCTCTCTCTCTCTTAAGGTTTTACAACAAGCTGGTAATATTGAAAGACTGGGCCGTTTCCTATGGTCATTGCCACAATGTGATAAATTGCAATTAAACGAATCAGTGCTAAAAGCCAAGGCCGTTGTTGCATTCCATCGCGGTCAATACAAAGAATTGTATAGATTGTTAGAACATCATCAATTCTCACCTCACAATCATGCTAAATTGCAAGCGCTGTGGTTAAAAGGTGAGTATTGAAATTAAGAGCGAAAAAACAATAAATTTATTATATCTTTTAATGAAATTGTTATTTTAGATGAAATAATATTTTTCTTTTTGTATCATTTTTATTTTTCTTATTAATTTAACAGCTCATTATGTGGAAGCCGAAAAACTGCGTGGAAGACCATTAGGTGCTGTGGGTAAATATCGTGTTCGTCGTAAATTTCCACTGCCGCGCACAATTTGGGATGGTGAAGAAACAAGTTATTGTTTTAAGGTAACATATATAAGTTTTTTGTTTATTTTATCATATTTTTTGTTGTTATAGAGGAATCCCCATAAAAATATTTTTACCTTCAGAGGGGTTAATAAAGTTTCAAAACCAGCAGCAACATTTTAAAAGAAATCATAGTAATGTTTATTTCGTTGGCTTTTCTACACACATGATAATAATGTTTAACAAAAAAAAGTTAAAAAGTTTCATTACATGATGGGAATTTTATTAATTTTTACAATTTCTGTTTAAGTTTCCTGGGTGTTTAATCTGTTTTTAACCATTTACTCAAGAGGGGTTGTTTAATTTCTCTTTTGGTTTATGTTTGTGATTTGATTGTAACAATTTTTTTTGGGGGGAAATATATTTTCGAACAAAAGGTTTCATTTGATTAAAAACATTTTGCTACAAACATTTATTTACAGATTTTGTTATAATATGTTAATAATTATAATTTTTTTCTATTTCTTTCTATTATCAGGAAAAATCTCGTTCAGTTTTAAGAGACTGGTATGCGCACAATCCTTATCCCTCACCGCGTGAAAAACGTGAACTAGCAGAGGCTACGGGACTGACAACAACACAGGTGAGTTTGTTTACAAACAAACAAACAAACAAAAAATAACTTAGCTATTTTCCCAAGTTAAACAAATTTTAATAATATATTAATGTTTCATTTAATATATGAAAACTGTTGTTTAAAAAATCGCTAATAGTGTTACTCTTTTATAAGACAAGGTCCGGCATCTTTGTTATTAAAAAACAAAAAATAAAGCCAAAAACTATGGTCTATTCTATATGCTAGTCTAGTCTATAGTCTAGTCTATAGTCTAGTCTATAGTATAGTCTATAGTATAGTCTATAGTATAGTCTAGTCTATAGTCTAGTCTATAGTCTATAGTCTAGTCTAGTCTATAGTCTAGTATATAGTCTAGTCTATAGTCTAGTCTATAGTCTAGTCTATAGTCTAGTCTATAGTCTAGTCTATAGTCTAGTATATAGTCTAGTCTATAGTCTAGTCTATAGTTTAGTCTATAGTCTAGTCTATAGTCTAGTCTATAGTCTAGTCTATAGTCTAGTCTATAGTCTAGTCTATAGTCTAGTCTATAGTCTAGTCTATAGTCTAGTCTATAGTCTAGTCTATAGTCTAGTCTATAGTCTAGTCTATAGTCTAGTCTATAGTCTAGTCTATAGTCTAGTCTATAGTCTAGTCTATAGTCTAGTCTATAGTCTAGTCTATAGTCTAGTCTATAGTCTAGTCTATAGTCTAGTCTATAGTCTAGTCTATAGTCTAGTCTATAGTCTAGTCTATAGTCTAGTCTATAGTCTAGTCTATAGTCTAGTCTATAGTCTAGTCTATAGTCTAGTCTATAGTCTAGTCTATAGTCTAGTCTATAGTCTAGTCTATAGTCTAGTCTATAGTCTAGTCTATAGTCTAGTCTATAGTCTAGTCTATAGTCTAGTCTATAGTCTAGTCTATAGTCTAGTCTATAGTCTAGTCTATAGTCTAGTCTATAGTCTAGTCTATAGTCTAGTCTATAGTCTAGTCTATAGTCTAGTCTATAGTCTAGTCTATAGTCTAGTCTATAGTCTAGTCTATAGTCTAGTCTATAGTCTAGTCTATAGTCTAGTCTATAGTCTAGTCTATAGTCTAGTCTATAGTCTAGTCTATAGTCTAGTCTATAGTCTAGTCTCTAGTCTAGTCTAGTCTATAGTCTAGTCTATAGTCTAGTCTATAGTCTAGTCTATAGTCTAGTCTATAGTCTAGTCTATAGTCTAGTCTATAGTCTAGTCTATAGTCTAGTCTATAGTCTAGTCTATAGTCTAGTCTATAGTCTAGTCTATAGTCTATCTAGTCTATCTATAGTCTAGTCTATAGTCTAGTCTATAGTCTAGTCTATAGTCTAGTCTATAGTCTAGTCTATAGTCTAGTCTATAGTCTAGTCTATAGGTCTAGTCTATAGTCTAGTCTATAGTCTAGTCTATAGTCTAGTCTATAGTCTAGTCTATAGTCTAGTCTATAGTCTAGTCTATAGTCTGTCTATAGTCTAGTCTATAGTCTAGTCTATAGTCTAGTCTATAGTCTAGTCTATAGTCTAGTCTATAGTCAGTCTATAGTCTAGTCTATAGTCTAGTCTATAGTCTAGTCTATAGTCTAGTCTATAGTCTAGTCTATAGTCTAGTCTATAGTCTAGTCTATAGTCTAGTCTATAGTCTAGTCTATAGTCTAGTCTATAGTCTAGTCTATAGTCTAGTCTATAGTCTAGTCTATAGTCTAGTCTATAGTCTAGTCTATAGTCTAGTCATAGTTCTAGTCTATAGTCTAGTCTATAGTCTAGTCTATAGTCTAGTCATAGTCTAGTCTATAGTCTAGTCTATAGTCTAGTCTATAGTCTAGTCTATAGTCTAGTCTATAGTCTAGTCTATAGTCTAGTCTATAGTCTAGTCTATAGTCTGTCTATAGTCTAGTCTATAGTCTAGTCTATAGTCTAGTCTATAGTCTAGTCTATAGTCTAGTCTATAGTCTAGTCTATAGTCTAGTCTATAGTCTAGTCTATAGTCTAGTCTATAGTCTAGTCTATAGTCTAGTCTATAGTCTAGTCTATAGTCTAGTCTATAGTCTAGTCTATAGTCTAGTCTATAGTCTAGTCTATCTAGTCTATAGTCTAGTCTATAGTCTAGTCTAGTCTAGTCTATAGTCTAGTCTATAGTCTAGTCTAGTCTATAGTCTAGTCTAGTCTATAGTCTAGTCCATAGTCTAGTCTATAGTCTAGTCTATAGTCTAGTCTATAGTCTAGTCTATAGTCTAGTCTATAGTCTAGTCTATAGTCTAGTCTATAGTCTAGTCTATAGTCTAGTCTATAGTCTAGTCTATAGTCTAGTCTATTCTAGTCTAGTCTATAGTCTAGTCTATAGTCTAGTCTAGTCTAGTCTATAGTCTAGTCTAGTCTAGTCTATAGTCTAGTCTATAGTCTAGTCTATAGTCTAGTCTAGTCTATAGTCTAGTCTAGTCTAGTCTATAGTCTAGTCTATAGTCTAGTCTATAGTCTAGTCTAGTTTATAGTCTAGTTTATAGTCTAGTCTATAGTCTAGTCTAGTTTATAGTCTAGTCTATAGTCTAGTCTATAGTCTAGTCTATAGTCTAGTCTATAGTCTAGTCTATAGTCTAGTCTATAGTCTAGTCTATAGTCTAGTCTATAGTCTAGTCTAGTCTATAGTCTAGTCTATAGTGTGGTCTATAGTATAGTCTATAGTCTAGTCTATAGTCTAGTCTATAGGCTAGTCTATAGTCTAGTCTATAGTCTAGTCTATAGTCTAGTCTATAGTCTAGTCTATAGTCTAGTCTATAGTCTAGTCTATAGTCTAGTCTATAGTCTAGTCTATAGTCTAGTCTATAGTCTAGTCTATAGTCTAGTCTATAGTCTAGTCTATAGTCTAGACTATTGTCTAGTGTATACCTAGTCCGTAGTCTTGTCTATGGTGTAGCCTATAGTATTGTCTATAGTGTAGTCTACAGTCTAGTTATAGTGTAGTCTATAGCCTAGTCTACAGTCTAGTCTATAGTCTAGTTATAGTATAGTCTATAGCCTAGTCTACAGTCTAGTCTGATCTATAGTTAAATATATATGCTGTTCTGTAGTCTGGACTATAGTTTAGTCTATGGTCTATTATAAAGTCTAGTCTATAGCCTACTCTACAATCTTAACTGTAATCTAATCTATAGTCTGGACTTGACAAATCTATAGTGTGGACTGTAGTCTGAACTATAGTCTGATCTATAGTTCAGACTAAAGTGAAGTCTATTGACTCGTCATCAGTCTGGTCTATAGTCTTGACTATACTCTGTAATCTGGACTCTTATCTAGTCTATAATCTGGATTATTGTCTAGTCCATAGTTTGAACTTTGGTCTGGAATATAATCCGAACTATAAGCTGATCTATAATAAAGTCTATTGTATAGTGTGCAGTCTGGTCTATAGTCTAGTTCATATTATAGTTTAGTCTATATTCTGCTCTATAGTCTGGACCATAGTCTGGACTATAGTCTAGCCTATAGTCTACTCTATAGTCTAGCCTATAATCTGGTCGATAGTTCCGACCATAGTCTGAACTATAGCCTACTCTACAGTCTGGACTTTAATCTAGTCTATAGTCTAGACTATTGTCAATTCTATAGCTGAATTATAATTTGGATTATAGAGTTTTAAATTTAAAACTATAGAATAATTTATCTAAAAATTTCAAACACAAAATTCAAACAAACTCATTAAAATTTTGTTTTGAAATATGAAATTTTTGTTTAAAATTTCACAAAATTTATTTAAAATTCAATTTCTTTAAAACAATAGAACAATTTGTGACAAAATTGCCAAATCGAAACATTACAAACTCATTAAAATTTTCTATGAAATATGAAAATTATTATTATTGTAATTAGAATTTTTGAAAATATGAACATTTATCATTTGTAATATTTTACATATTACAGGTTTCTAATTGGTTCAAAAATCGAAGACAAAGAGATCGAGCAGCGGAACATAAAGAGTAAGTAAATTGTTAAAACAAACTATAAATTTAGATGAAATTTTAAAAATATTGCTTAGTTAAGGTAAAGGTTATACACGCTAACTAATGTAAAGGTAATTAATCTTTTGGTGTTTTTTGTTTCTGTTTTTGCTTCAAAAAAATAAAATATTTTAAATGTTTAAAATTAAAAGCATTTAAATATATATATTTTTTTGGCTATCAAAGAGAAATATTTTTAACAAGGTGAAAATTAATGATTTTACAAGAAAAATATATATACTTTTTTATAAAAAAAAAGTAAATATGTCAAGGTTTTCGGTGTATTTTTTAAATATTATATATTTTTTGCGGTGGCTTTAATTTGAAATTTAAAATGTTTTTCTTTATATTGCATGGAAATTTTACACAAACAATTTGTATTTATATTATATGCAAAATAAATGAGACAAAACATTTTGCCAAAAAAGCATTATATAGAAGAAATTTGTTTAAAAGTGAATATGAAATGCAAATTTATTTTGAAATTATTTAAATAATAAAGAAAAATTAAAAGAAAATAAACAGAGAAGTAGAGTCTAGAGAGTAAAGAAAAGGGGATTTAATTAATTATCCATATGGCAACCTTTGAAAATGACAGTTTGTTTACTTACCTAAGACAGGGTTGCTATTTCTCATACTTAAAGTGTGAAAAACTGTGTGGGAATTAAAAAATTAAAATTAAGTTATAATTCTGAAAATTATGGACTGATTTTGATAAAACTTGTTAGGATTAAAGAAGAGGTATAGTTTAGTTTAGATATTGTCCCTAAGACCAGTTAGACCTATAGAGGGAGCAGCCAGAAGTCTCCAAATTAAAGCTTCTTGTATATCTTAAAAATAACCCCGGGTTTGGGATTAAAATACCATTTCAAAGAATAAGCTAAGCTAGAATTATTATATATCAATGGATAGGAAATTATGTCTACTTTTCAAAACTATATAAACTTTTTGATAATTATGCAATTCATAGAATAAATTTGGCAGAAATATGTATGGTTAACAAATATTTTATAGCTTTACTTAACCCAACGCCTCTGTTTAACATTTACATTCTAATTTTTAACAACAATTAAATAAAATATTAATAAAAACATAAGTTTCCATATTTTCTAAAAAAATTTAAATTTTTAATTAAAAAACACATGTTTGGTCAGTTTAAGCAAATATGTTTAATTTCAAAAATCTTCTACATATTGAGACATTGTCTTTCAATATTTAATTAAATCCAAAGTGTTTTTTAAGTGTTTTATTTTAAAAATAAAATCTTAAAAAAAAACGTTGTTGTTTTCTTAATAACTCTTTAAATATTTATTTAGTTCTTTTTCCCAGCTGTTGCCAAACTTAAATAGTTTCCGCCTTAAAGGATCTCTCTTTTAAAATAATAATAAACAGTTTGTTTATTTATTTTGTTCCTTCTTGGCAACACACATGTTTTCCGAATGTTTATTTTAAATTAAAAGTCAATTTTCTATTAAGCACCATACTAGACGGCTTAAATGTCAAGCAGTTTAAAAGGGAAAATGTAAACAAAACAAAAGAAAGAAAGGGCCAGCATGCAGGCTTGCTATCATATGTTATTTGTTTACATAACAATTAAAAACAACTGTGTGTTTGTTGACAATCCTTTTTTTTTCTATTGTTGAAAGAGAGTTTGTGGAAGATTACTAATTAGTGTGGATTAAAGTCTTGTTTATAGGTTGGACCATAGTCTTGTTTATAAATTCTTGTCTATAACCTAGGCTGAGGCATTTCCTATAGCCTGGACTAAAGTCTTGTGTATAGTCCAGTCTAAAATTGTATTTATAGTCTATACTAAAGTCTTCTCTATAATATGGACTAAATTATTGCCTATAGTCTGAACTAAAGTCTTGTCTATAGTCTTGACTATAGTATTTTCTATAAACTAGTCTAAAGTCTTGTCTATAGTCTGGACTAAAGTCTTGTCTATAGTGAGGACTATAGTTTTGTCTATTGTCTAGTCTAAAGTGTATAGTTTGGACTAAAGTTTTGGCTATAGTCTAGATTAAAGTCCTGTTCATAGTCTGGACTAAAGTCTGGGTTACATGTCTGGGTCATGTCTACCGTCAGGACTAAAATCTTGTCTATAATCTGGACTACAGTTTTGTCTATAGTCCTGTTCATAGTCTGGACTATTGTCTTGTCTATAGCCTGGCCTAATGTCTTGTCAATAGTCTGGTCTAAAGTCTATAGTTTACACTAAAGTCATTACTATAGTCTGAACTAATGATTTGAATATTGTGTGGACTAATGTCTCTTCTATAGTCTATTATAGTCTGTTCTAAAGTCTATAGTTTATACTAAAGACTTGACTATAATATGAACTACAATCGTGGCTATAGTCTGGACAAATGTCGTGTCTATAATCAGAACTAAAGTCTTGACTATAGCCTAAACAAAAGACTTGTTAATAGTCTAGACTAAAGTCTTTTCTATAGCCTAATCTTGCCTTTAGTCTAGACTTATGTCTTGTCTACAGGCTTGACTGAAGTCTTTTCTATAGTCTAGACTAAAGTTTTGTCTATAGTATGGACTAAAGTCTTGATAATAGTTTAAACTATAGTCTAGACTAAAGTTTTGTCTATAGTCTTGACTATAATATAGTATAGATTAAATCTTGATTATAGCTCTTGCCTATAGTCGGAACTAAAGTCTTGTCTATAGTCTGGACCAAAGTCTAGTCTATAGTCTGGATTCTAATCTTTTCCATAATCTATACTATAATCTTGTCCATAGTCTAGACTCAAATCTTGTCTACAATTTGGACTAAAGTTTTGTTTATAGTCTAAATTAGAGTTTTGTATTGACTATATAATGGTTTATAGTCCAGACAATAGACCTGTCTATTATCTTGTCAATAGGTTTCTGCTCATTTAAGTAAAACTCTCTATCAATATTAATTTCTTTAGGACCCCAGTTTAACTTTGCCAAAACGAGTAAAATTGTCAAGACAAGTTAACAAATCTATCACTCTTAACTTGACAACAATAACACAAACCAAATTTTTAGCATTTCTTTATGATTTATGTACAAAAACAAATTCCGCATAGTTTTACCGTAAAGAAATTTTTAAACAAAACTATTTTTTTTTACAAATTAGGCTTAAAATAAGAAATTCTTATCGATTTTTTATTTCAACATTTATTTACTTTGAATTGAGTTGTGTTTTTTTTTTTTTTTTTTGTATTCAAAGAATCTGTGGCCTTTTATTAAAATATTGAAAATACAAAGAAAAACGCAAAATAATAAACAAAAATTAAAGAATATAAAGAAGAGACCAAACAAAGATATCAAATTTCATATAGAAAAGAAAAAAAGAGAAAAAAAAAACGATAATCAATAGAGTTGATGATAAAGAAGACCTTTTTTTGAAAAATTACAAAAAATATTAAGAAAAAAAACTTAAAGAAACAGTTTTTTTTAAACTTTAAAGTTCCACACCAAAAAATCCAAGGACAAGTTTAAACCTAAACCAAAAAAAAAGTGACAAGTATGTCATATATGCATGAATTTATTAAAATCAAGCAAAAATTGAGACAAAAACAAACTAAAGATAAAATAATAAACATTAAAATTAAGTAGAAAAACTTATTTGTGTCACTTTTAATTTATATAAACAGCAAGAAGATTTTAATAACCTTTCCACTAGAATTGAGAAAAAACTAAAGCATGTGGGTGGTCGGAATTTAAGACAAAAGACAAGTTTTAAATTGAATTTTATACCAAAAAAAAAGTTATTGAAAGGGAAATAATTTGTTAAGAACGAAAAAAATAAACGGTTTTGGTGGACATTGTGTTAGAAAAAAGGTTTTTAATAGATTTAAAATTAGAAGAAGAAAAAGGGCCAAAGACCTTTATTCTAAAACAAATTTTTAATTACACTACTAGTTTATAACACAAATCAGCTGTTTTACAGTTTTGTTTACTGTAGTTTGTTTACATTGACAACTACACACTCTCAAACTCCTCATATTTATATTTAATATTTTTCTGTAAATTTCTTTCAAATCTGTTTTAGTTTTGTCTTATACAAAAGTTTTTTGCTAATTTCCTTTTCTCTTGCCTTTTATTAGTCTTAACTTCTATCTCTTAACACCCCGCAACAATTAATCGCCATAAAATTCCAATATAATTTTTACACACATTTAACTGCGCGAAAATGCACACAAAAAGGTTTAACAAGATAAAAATCGCTTAAATGACAAAACATACCTCTAAAAATAAAGGCAAAAAAATAAACTGGTCACCAACAAAGTAGTTAAAAAATCCTAAAAAGAAACATTTAAGCGCACACGAAACAATTTGTAATGAAACTTGTAGCAAAAAAAAAAAAAAAAAAAAAACAAGAAAAAATGCAATAAAATGTTAAGAAAAAAATGACTTGTCGCGCCAGTCCAACACTGCAAGAAAAACTGTACAATTTTTAGGATAACATAAAAATATGTATAGTTAGCATCACTGTTTTCTTAAGTTAACAATCCTTTATGTTATGGTTTAACATCTCCTATAGCCAGCAAACAGTAAAGTAAATTGTAAACAAATAGAAATTACTGTAAACAAATCTAAACTGTAACAGTAAATTTAATAAAAAACTTTGCAAATCTCTAGAACACATAAAGCTGAGTTTATGCTTTACATTTTTTATTCCATATACATTCAAAGAACAAGCTTAAAAAGTTCTTAAAGTCCTCCAAAATTTTCTTTCTGTGTTTTTTTGTTTTAACACTTTAACAAAACAAAACTATATACATTTTAAACATGCAATAAAAAACAGAAAAAAAAAGCAAAACATTTGGAAATAAAAAAAAAATTGATTCACACAAAACGATTTAAGACACATTTTAAAGTCACCAGACAAACTGACGCAGACTAAAACCCCCCCATAAAATTTAAACTAAGCTGGAAAAAACTAAAAAAAAAAATATTTTATTACGAATTTAAATGCAACTATAATACAAAATATACAGGGCATGTTGAAAACTCAATATAACCCAATAAACAAATTTATCTGAAATACTAAAAGTTCTCAAATTCTTATAGTATCGTCTATTTTTTGGTCCGTTTGGACTAT